GCAAGTTGTGGAACAGAGTCCATTCCCCTTAGGCCCTCCTGAGCCACAATACCCTGCCCTGGGATCACCTTCAAAACCAACCCCACTCTACTCCCACCATGCCCCTGTGGGGTTCGTAGGCACAGAAAGGGTTTTGCCCTCAATGTGTTTGGGTTCCTAAGTAAGGGCCCAATCCAATTCCCACTGAAGTCAATGAGTGTAGGATTTGTAGCCTGATCTATCGATTCTGTCTTAATTATACTGATTACTTAAGAATCCCCAGTTATCACTTTGAGGGTTGTCAGGTCCTTGTCCCAACATCAGGCCCGCTATTATTCAAATGATATATAGCTGGGAACCCTGATATGCACAGCTGCAACACTCACACTATAGGAACTCTTCTATATTCACAAATAGTTTAACACAGTCACAAACACTCTAACTCAGTAAGGTAAATAGAGAGGCTACAGAACGTACATCTTGCCATCAGTATACTCGCACCATCCCTTGCAAGACAACCAGAAAGGTTAGCCATTATCTTCCTCGTCGCCATTACCTTCTGCCACATCACCAGTGGCCATCATTCTGGCACCTCCCAAGGGCTACATCTCTCTCCCCTATTGCCCACAGGCTGGGATGCAACTTTGATAATATGTTACGCTAACATATCTGCCATATATATAATGTACATTCAGTAGTGGTTTTTCCTCTTTTCCTTGTCCGTATTTCCTCATCCTACTAATGCGGAGGAGTCCTTCTTCTATAGGTTAGTACACTGATACCATTTCAGCTCGTGATCGTACCTGTCTCCCCCTGCTTAAGCGGATTTGTGGTTATTACTTCCCATGTTCCTTGCGGTAGCACTTACAGGAACATTCTACCTCCTACTGGTGAGCAAGCTCTTCTTAGGCCTAACCCCCCACTTCGAACTAAGGTACGCAAATTCAGCTACGTTAATAACGTAGCTGAATTCGAAGTACCTTAGTTCGAACTTACCGCGGGTCCAGACGCGGCAGGCAGGCTCCCTCGTCGATGCCGCGTACTCCTCTCGCCGAGCTGGAGTACCGGCGTCGACGGCGAGCACTTCCGGGATCGATCCGGGATTGATTTATCGCGTCTAGACAAGACGCGATAAATCGATCCCAGAAGATCGATTGCTTACGGCCGGACCAGGAAGTAAGTGTAGACCTGCCCTTAGCTCCCAAAATCTAAAGGTAACCGCTAATCTATGCCAAGGGTTACAGCCGACTTAACCACCTTAAGCTAACTGATGCTTCAGCTAATATCTTACAGGATACTGGCCTGTAGGTTTCATGCATTACGGCTGAATATACCAAAAGCAGCTAAATATAGTGAAGGCAAGGCAATGATATAGTAAAGGCAAGCTAGCCCTGTGGGCTACAAATTGAGCCATAAAAAGGTGCTCACCAAAACAACTTGAGTAACTTGTGACAAATGCAAGGCTATGAAACTATAAAAAGCTATTTTATTTACTTTAGGAATAAGAGACCCTGGAAGTCTTCTTTAGTTAACATGGGGACTGATCCTGCTCCCATTCAGGTCAAGGGCCATGGGTAATCAGGTCCCAGTCCTGAAAGCTGCTGAGTTTCCACCTCACAGAAAGTGCTCAGACCCTCAGTCCTTAAACATGTAAAATTCCCATTGAAATGAACAAACCAGATCCTGAGAAATGTTGAGCATCCGTTATTCATGGAAGGGACTGTAGTCATATCAGCATTTGGCCCCATCATGTGTGTCTGGTAACTGGTAGATGCTATTCTTATATGGAGCTCATCCCCATGGTGTCTGAGCACCTAACAAGTTATTTTGGATACCTCTTCCAATATAGGAACTGTTTGCACAAGTAATACATAATAAGTGTGTATCACAGGCTCAAAAGATGTCAGATGCTTTTCAAATACATAAGACACATTCCTGCCCACAAAAGCTTCCAGTGTACAAAGAAACAAAGAGCAAATGATGTATGGAGGAAAAGGATATGACATACAAAGTGATCAGAGTGATGGCTGGCACAAGGGTTAGTTTTACGGGGGAGGGGAGTCTTGTAGGAGAAGGGGCTCAGAGATTTTGTTTGATTTTTGAATGCCTACAAAACCGAGTACAGTTACAATGCTGTGAAAACAGGGGTTTAAAGAGTGGTTTAAATGAGGCAGAGTGGAGCACAGACAAATAGATTTTGGAAGTTCATTCCAATCATATAGGATTGCCTAGAACTGAAGTGGGTCGCAACCCCTTTTTAATGGGGTTGCCAGGGCTGGTGTTAGACGTGCAGGGGCTTGGAGATAAAGCCGAAGCTCAAGCCCTGCTGCCCGGGGCCAAAGCTGAATCCTGAGGGCTTCAGCTCTGGGTGGCAGGGCTCAGGTTACAGGCCCCCTGCATGGGGCTGAAGCCCTTGGGCTTTACCCCACCCTCCTTCTCCCCCCCCCCCCAAGGGCAGCATGGCTCAGGTTTCAGTCCACTCTCCCCGGGTTGTGTAGTAATTTTTGTTGTCAGAAGGGGGTCCTGGTGCAGTGAAGTTTGAGAACCCCTGGCCTAGAAGAAGATGGAAGTGATTGTGCGAGAAGGCTGCACGTGGACTTCTCAAGTCTCTTCTCTCAAAAGTCTCTTGTCTTAAAATCAGAAAACAACAAATTAATCAATTATAAAATACAGAGTAAGAGATCCGGGTTGTAACCTCCATCAAAGAGGTCTTCCCAGAGCTAATATATACCTAATGCATTCTATCAGTTGTCATAAGCTTTCCTAAGTCACATACCCAGTTCGAACCAGCTGCCCTACTAGACTGGAAAAATGTCACATTATCTAGAGCTTAGTTTTTCAAGCAGTTCAACCTTGATACTTTAAACAAAGCAAAACGGAAAAACAATGTCCTGTTTCATATGACATACATCATGAAAAGAACAATCTAAGTTAAATGAGTGGGAGGGGAGGTTTAGCAATAAGTCAGTATTATACCACTACGCAAAAACTCATCTCAATAACGAACCTGATCTTGCACTCCTTCCTTAATCAAAACTCCCATGAACTTCAGTGGGAGACTTGTCCAATGGCAGGATCAGAGCCTTAAGCTCAATGGCTCTACTCATGTGAGTAAACACTATTTGTATGATAAGAATTGGTAGGTTCAGGCCACGGATCCACAATTTACACAGACTAGAGGACTTTACTTGTCTCTGATAAAACAACCAACTTCAGCAATAACTCCTCAGTCTTCCTGCACAGAAATTTTGTCCACTATGGTTTACAGCATTTTTTAAAAACAGTGATATCCAATATCCACACTGTTTTGCAACCGCATCTATGCAACATTATAAAACAAATTTATTTTAGTGGGACACTGTCAACTTAAAAATCTAGTTGCAAACAAATTTATTTGTCTATGATACTAATAACATCTTATATTATTTAAAATGCAAGAATTTTAGAAATCCAGCATGCTGGTCAGTCTGCATGTTGTCCTTTTTGCAGTTCTCTCATTTTGGTCAAGTAAAGTCAGTTTCACTTTCAAGCCCTTAGTGATACTATGGTTGGGTTTCATACACTGCAGGTGGATGTTTATTTGTTTTAATGATTTTTTCAAATGTGCAAACATTTCTGTTGGCCTTTGGTTTTTTAAAAGCTTGTTTATAACCACATTTAACATTTTGGGCTAGATTTAAGTGGTCAGTGTCCCTTTAAGCACTTTGATCCATAAATCTATCATAATTACTCTTGTTCCATCTGTTTTCCCCAGCTTTCATAAAATAGTTTTCAACATGTGTATTCAAGAGAATGTATTTATACAAAGACATGAGAAAGCCTTTTAAATAAAACAGCCTCTCGTTTTAGAAATCTTGATGATAGCAAAAAAATAATAATTCAAGGCATATTTTTAGCCCATAATGAGATCTTGGTCATTTTCTCCTTGTTCAGGACAAGTTCCAATGAGCATTATGCCTACCATGATAAAGCAAAATAGTGGCATAATATGCATCTTCTATGAGAAAATCCCAAACCCCTTTCAGGGTTTAGCATTTAAATTTATGTTAACTCACATGTGCATTGGATCCCTCCCCAAATCCCCGCCTCTTCCCCAAGCACGTGGCATCCCCCCCCCCCAGGCTTGCAGCTGTAATGGCAGCACAAGCTTGGGAGGGAGGGGTGGGGGCGCGGCTTCCACTTCCTGGAGCTGGTGAGTAGCTCCGGCACCGGGCGGGCAAGGGGGCTGCTCCCCCAGGAGGGAGACGGGGGGCTCCGGACCCCGGCAGTGGCGGGGGAGAGCGGATCGGGCCATGTAAAGTTTATCGGCTGGAGGGGGGACCCCGGCCGGCTCCTCGCCCCTGTAGGGGGGTAGCGCCAGCATGTCCCGCTGGCTGCTGCAGGCCAGGTAAGAAGCCGAGTCCCTCCCCCCCTGGTCCTGGCATCTCGGCTGAGCCCCCCCGTCTCCCTCCTGGGGGAGCAGCCCCCTTGCCCGCCCGGTGCCGGAGCTCGTCCTCACCAGCTCCAGGGAGTGGAAGCCGCACCACCACCCCCTCCCTCCAGGCTTGCGCCGCCATTACAGCTGCAAGCCTGGGAGGGAGGGGGATGCCGCTCAGACGGGGGGGACTCGGCTTCCTACCTGGCCTGGGGCGGCGGCGGGACATGGCGCGGGGCGGGGATGCTACCCCCCCTACAGGGGCGAGGAGCCGGCCAGGGTCCCCCCCCAATAAACTTTACATGGCCCGAGCCGCTCTCCCCCGCCACTGCCGGGGTCCGGAGCCCCGCGCCTCTCCGGCTCGGCTGCGCTCCAGCGGCTCCTTCCCCGCCGGACGCGCCGCATGTGCCCGGGGCCGCCGGGAGGGTAGTGGCCGCGGCAGGGCTGGGGCGTGCTAATTCCCCCGGCCCCTGCCAAACGGCTTTTGGTTTTGGTTTTTTTGCTCCGCCCCCGTCGGGATAGTTCACCTCTGTGATCTGGTCACCTTACCCTGCCCTGCCCCCGGAATAGAAACAATACACCGCTGGCGAGAACCCCAGCTACTCACACGAAGGCATGATACAGCAGCGCCCACCCTCTGGGTCGCTCCAGGGCGTCATAGATTAAAGTTTGGACCCTCCTGTACTTGGCGTTGTTCCTCTTGACAGGTCTGCTCAGAGGTGTTTTGGCCAAAAGCCCAATCCCTTGCGGATTCCTCTTCCCCCCCTCTTCCTTCCCGGTCCCTTCCAGCAGCAGGGTCCCGTCTTTATCTGCTCCAGCGCCCAAGGCCAAAGAGCCCTGCTCCACATCCCCCGCCGCGAGCCCTACTTTCTTCTCCTCTTGCTCCCCGCCACCAGCGGTCCCCGCAGCTGCTGCCTTCCTGGACTTGAGTCCCATCTTTTTCGCTGGTCCTTACAGGCGCCGCTGGAGGTAAGCAGCAGCAGCTTGCGGAGCCCCAAGGCCATGATCCGAGCTCCCCTCCAAAAAAAAAAGAAAAAGGGAAAAAAAAGAAAAAAAAAAAGACGGGTCGGGGGAGGGAATCGCAGTGCTGTCAGGCCATCATCGCCGGGGCTAAAGCAGAGGCCTGATGGCAGGAGAGCGGTGGGTGGCAGCAGCACCTGGCCCAGCAGGGAGATGTCACCATCGCAGAGTTTATTGACTAGCCTGATGCCAGAGTCCCTTCTCCTCCCCTCCCGCGCTTGCTGGATGCCTGCGAGCCCCCCCCGAGCCTCACGCGAGGGAGGGGCCCATTGTAGGTCCCCAGCAAATAGCAGCGCGCCTCCCCTCTCCCGGTGTGGCTAGTCATTCATTTTGCATTGAGCATGGTGCATCCGTTCAGCACGGCGGAGCCTGCATGCGGCAGGCAGCGGCTGCTGCGTGCTGCGAGCCTGGCAATTTCGCCCATGAGGCGCGCGGGGAGGAGGAGGAGGAGGGGGGGGGGTATTCCCCCAGCCCCACCCTTTGCAAAGCGAGCCCTAAATGCCCAGGCAAAGGCTGGGCTCGGAGCGCTAACAGCGGCTGGGCAGGGAGATCCCTGCGCCCGCTACGGGGAAGACCCCGCTTGGGAGCCGGGGATCCCCCAGCAGCATCAGCCGCCTCCCCCTGCAGCCGTGGGGGGGATTCCGCCCGGGCTGCCCCGCGGGAGGACGCGGCTGCCTGGGCAGGGTCTGGCGCTGCAGCCGCGGGGCTCCCCGCTGCGGCCGGGGCTTGGGGGAGCAGGAAGGCGAGAAGAGGCTGTGAAGGAAGGATGTCGGGAGAGGAGGGGCCGGGGGTGCTGGCTCCCTCCCGCAGATGCTGCTCGGGGGAGGTGGGCGGTGAATCCAGCCCCGCAGCTGCAGCCCTGCGGATCCCCCTGCTCAGGGAGGCGGCTAAGCCAGCAGCGTCCCTAGCGCTACGGGCCCTGACCCGCTTCTGCCCCGTAGCAGCTGCCTGCTGTGAGCCCAGGCCTGGTTCTATCTCTGTATGAGGAGGTGCCTCCCCCCCCCCCCCCCCCCAACCCGGTTCTGTCCCCGTAGGAGGAAGTGCCTCCCCCTGCCAGACCCGGTTCTGTCTCTGTATGAGGAGGTGTCTGCCCCCCCTCCAATCTCGCGCCCGCCCCCCGACCAGACCTGGTTTTGTCTCTGTATGAGGAGATGCCTCCCCCCAGACCAGACCCAGTTCTGTCTCTGTATGAGGAGGTGCCTATCCCCCGCCCCCCCCCCGACCCCGCTCCGTGCCGGTGCCCGGACGCCCCCCCCCCCCCCCAGGCCAGACTGGTTCTGTCCCTGTACAAGGAGGTGCCTCCCCCTGCCAGACCCAGTTCTGTCTCTGTATGAGGAGGTGCCTATCCCCCGTCCCCCCGCCCCAAGCCAGACCCAGTTCTGTCCCTGTATGAGGAGGTGCCTGCCCCGCCCCCCAGACCAGACCTGGTTCTGACTCTGAGGAGGTGCCTGCCCCACCCCAGGCCAGACCTGGTTCTGTCTCTGTATGAGGAGGTGCCTCCCCCTCCCCGCAGATCCAGTCCTGGCCCTGTAGCTAATGCCTGCCCCCCAGCCCAGACCCAGTTCTGAACTAGAGGCTGCTGCTACTGTCTCCATACATGATTTCCCCCTAAACCTGCTTCTGTCCAGCCGCATATTGCTTCCACCAAGCCAAACTTGGCTCTGGCCTAGGAAGTGCTTCCACTGCGCTAATGCCTGTTTTGCATCAGGATGTGCTTCTAAATCCTAATCTCAGGATTAGTTAAACCTGTACAGTGTACATAGCCCACACTGTCAAAACCCTAAGTGCTAAGTCTGAATCTTCATCACATCATTACATAGGAAGTGGAGAAAAATGAGGAGCAGTTCATCACAATTTCAAATTGCGACAGCGAATGTTCAAACCCAGATGCAAACAGGGGTGTTAATTTATCGTTCCCTGTCAAATAGGGTGACCAGACATCCTGATACTATCGGGACTGTCCTGATCTTAGGGGTTTTGTCTTATATAAGCAACTATAACCACAACCACCCTGAAAAAAGTGTCATCTTGCTATCCACTCACCCTACTGTCAGAAGGATATACAAATGTCAAATAGCAATGGATGATAGTCAAGTGTACCAGCTCCTTTGGCTTTTCTACCCAATACAATAGGGAGAGAAATTAATCATTTCATTTCAGTTACAACTGCTCAAGCAGTTAAGCCCTAAACCTGACCAGCACCAACTTCTCATTATCCAGTTTAAAAAACCATCACTGTGTTAATAAAAATATTTAGAATTGCCCTGCTGCATGCATGTACACATGGAGTAATTATTGTGTGGAAACTGCCACAAACAATCATTTGTGCTCACTGTGAAGCAGTTAAGTAGCAAAGAGGGTAATCCTCTGATTTCAGCAGGCTTTGTACCAGGCCCAATGGGACTGTACTATTGCTTCTGATGGTGCTGATGCAAAAGGTCTGATCCTTCAGTATATCTTCTGGCAAAACTCATTTGATATCAGGGGGAGGTTTGCTGGAGGAACACTCCAGGATAAGAGCTATTATGTGTTTTGGCCTGATGAGGCACTATGCTACATTATTATTATTTATTATGTGTTTCTGGCAGCACCTAACACATGCTAGTGTGACAGCTAACACCTTGGCTGACAATGGGGATTTCCAGAATCAAATACATATGTTTCTACAGCTGAAGCTACAGAACCAGGCTTTGTAGCTGGGGGGCTGTAACAGATTCATGTCCTCTGTGGATTAGGCACAGAGAGGGACATGTGCCATGCACTGACCAGTGGGTTACACCATGCTCTTTCCAAACAAATAAGGATTGTAAGGACCTTACACTCTAAAGTCAGGCAGAGGAACAGTCAGAGGTTAAGGGAAAAGGCATATGACTTAAGTAGGTCAAGATGATGCTTGGCTGCAGCTTGGGCTAGTCAATATAACTCTTTCAGATTCCTTATGGTTAGCCTGGCAGAAGTGGGTTTCAAAGAGGAACTTGAATACAGAGAAGCACTGTATTATCAATGATCTGAAAGAAAAGATAAAATCATTGCTGGTAAAGTTTGCAGAAGTTTGGTGGAGTGGTAAATAACGGTGAGGACAAATCAGCCGTAGAGCACTCTGGATCACTTGGAAAACTGTACACAAACAAACAACATGCACTTTAGTAGAGTCAAATGCAAGGCCACACATTTAGGAACACAGAATGCAGGTCACACTTACAGGATGGGGAACTGCAACCTGAAAAAACAGTGACTTGGGAAAGGATTTAGGGGCCATAGTGGACAAATGACTGAACATGAGCTCCCAGCTAAGAACTAAGTGTGATCCTTGGATGAATAAACAGAGGAATATTGAGGAGTAGGGAGGTGGCATTAACTGTATTGAGACCAGCATTGAAATGCTGCATCCATTTCCGGTGTCCACACTTTAAAAAGTGCTGCTGAAATTATGGTGATGAGCCACAAGAATGATTCACAGACAGGGAGATTTGATACCAGAGAGGTCTTTAACCTAGCACACAAAGGTGTAAACAAGATCCAATGTCAGGAGGTGGAATCTAGACAACTTCAAACTGAAAATAAAGATGCCATTTTTTAAAAGTGATGGTAATCAATCACTGGAACAATTTACCAAGGGATGTGATCGATTCTACAGTGCTTGAAGTCTTTACATCAAGGTTGTATGTCTTTCTAAAAGATATGCTCTAGTTTAACCAGAAGTTATGGTCTGGGTTATGCAGGAGGTCAGACTAGATTATCTTAATATTGTGCCAACACTTAAAGAGGGTAAATGGGATGACCTGAGTAATCATAGACCTGTCAGTTTGACATTGATCCAGGACAAGATAATGGAGTGGCTGGTATGGGACTCGATGAATAAAGAATTAAAGGAGGGTAATATAATTAATGCCTATCAACATGAGTTTATGAAAAATAGGTCCGGTCAAACTTACTTGGTCTCTTTTTTGGATGAGATTACAAATTTTCTGATAAAGGTAATAGTGTGGATGTAATAGACTTCTGGAAGGCATTTGATGTGAAGAAGAGCTCTATGTAAGATGGAAAGCTAGTCTCTCTCACCAACCAAAGTTGGTCCAATAAGATATTACCTCACCCACCTTATCTCTATAAAATGAACATGGCACACATTAAATGAATTAAAAGCTGGATAACTGATAGGTCTCAAAACGTAATTGTAAATGAGGAATCCATTGAATGGGTATGTTTCTACTGGGGCCCTTAGGGATTGGTTTTTGGCCCTATGCTCTTTTATATGCAGGATGGGTGCCTGCAGGCCTTTATACTGAAAGCTGGTGTTCTTCCTGGTGATGCAGAGTGAGAATAGCCATGTTAATTTGAGGTTACTCAAAACACAGGAAATAACTAATTTGCCAAATAGAAAAAGACTACTTGAAGGCAAAGAATTACTAGGTCAGATCCTTGTCTCTATCTGAGGAACACACAGTGCAAAAGTGGCTGGCATGTTATCCTGGGCCTAGGCTGAAGGCTGCTCTAATGTATGCTGGTTGCCAACAGCAACCAGGTACTGGCAGAAAATTTGGAATCCCTGAATTGCCCTCCGCCAGCAAAGGTGGAGGTGGCATAAGAGCCTCTATGCCAGGTTTAATCCATCACAGGAGCCTCTGCATGCACAAGGGTGATCCTCCCACATCATGCCAACAGTAAGGCTGGGATATCTACTGCCAGATTGTGCTGGCTCACTGTTTTCAAGCTCCTTTAGGAACAGAGAGGAAAATAAATCTTAACCTCTAACAATTATGAGAGACAAAAATCAATAAAGTTGACCTTTATACAAAATCTCAATGTCATTAAAAGATCACCATGAGCCAGTCCGAGGATCCTCAATAATTCGGTCCTGCTTACCTGACTGGATCCACAGACTGTTGTGGCACACCATGCACTGAGCTTGTGCGTTCTCAGCCTTGCACAGCCATTCTGCGTAGCGCTTGGCCCGCGCCCCATCCTGCAGTC